CAATATTATCGTCGCTTAAATCGTTTGAATTTAACACTCGTTGAGGACATCGATAATGATTTGTTGGAACCGTTGAGTCTCTGCCACCGATTAACACATCTATCGTTGGATATGAAGCAAATGAGTGCCAAATTACTGGATAATTGTGACCAACATTTACCACGACTTCAATACCTGTCCATCAAAACTAAGTCAATGAGTGGCGAGCATTTGGCACACATCTCAAGACTACGGGCGCTGCAAATACTTACCATTAAAGTCAAACAAAGCAAACTCAGGGAAAATGATTTCTCGGATTTGTTGTCCCGAAGACCTAAACTAAAAAATATTGTATTCATTAAAAATTCTTCACGAAAGCATTTTTGCCGCACAAATGAGTTAAATAATTAAATTTTATTCTTTCGGTTTAAATATTAAAAAATCTTTGTTTTGAATAAACAATTAAACGATTTATAAATTAATAATAAAACCATTAAAATGTCTATAAATTCCATTATAAACTATAATATTTATTAGTAATAAATTTGTAATAATAAAGTTTGTAATAAATTATTACAAACAATTTTTAAATAAAATTCAAACTATTAATGAAAATATGTTTAATTCACTTATTTTTGAGTTGCAATGAAAATAATTCAATGAATTGTATGTCAAATGTGAGTGAAGTGAATGACAAACGCAAATCAAATGACAAATGTATGGAAAGTATTAAAACAATTAATATTTCTAATATATTGATAAAATCTCTTCATTTAATAATTTAATTAAGACAACTGTTCCCGAGTTTGAGACCAAATCATACAAACAAATCATTGGTTTTCTTTTTGACAACTTTTTGCCGCAATTCTTGAAAACTGGTGAAGACTTACGAGAATTGGAGGCATTTTTTCAAAACTAAAACTAAACTATCATTTGTTGTAATTATTGTTTTAATCATTTAATAAACTGATTGTCAAAACATAATTAAACTTAAATTATTAATAATATAAGTGATATAAAAGGATATTAGCATTAAATCAATGAATTATAAACTGAATTAAAAGAATTAATAAGAAATATATGATATTTTATAGGCATAAAAATGTCACAAAAGTTACAATAGGTGTCAGTCTTGTCGTCAGTTTGTGTTTGTGTTTGAAATTCAAACCCAGAATTGAATGCAACGGAAATATAACAGAATATTACGGTTGGAAACAGACATTGAATTCATAACCAATTGATTATTGATTCAAACAATCGCTTCATTTGATCCCAAAAATGCCTAAAAAGAGGAAACACTTGAAGACATTACTCGAGACCACAGATGACAGCAATGAAGACAACAGACAACACGTATTTCACTAACAATTCACTGTTTATTGAGTTTTAATTGTTTTTTATTCATATTTTAGCCAAAGATTTACGCGAAGAACTCAATGGACAGATTCGGCGATGATTTGTGTCAACTATTATTATCTCATCTCTCACTCGAAGACTGTTTTGAATACGAATGTGTGTCCAAACAGTTCCAGAGGACAGTCTTCGAGAGCGTTGATTACATTCACATTTATACCGATTTAGTTCACAAAATGATAAAAGGAAAGACAATTGACACCAAAAAGTTGGTCACAATCGCCAAAAAGTGTCCACACATTCGGACCATTGACTGTCGAGGAATAGCCGTCAGATATGAAGAACATATTGCGAAAGTGTTGACCACATTTCGAGGCAATTGTCGGCGTTTAAGAGACATTTGCGTCAATATAACGAGGAATAACGAGATTTGGCCGACGATGGCATCATTGGTGACACGAATCGACGATTTTGATTGGCTTCAGAAACAAATACTCATTCATTGCCACCGATTGTCACATTTCTGTATCTACTCGTTGTCCGAAGTTTTCGACGACACTTTCGGACGACTAATGATCAAGAATTTAGACACAATTGAGTTTCAATATCCGGGTTTCAGCTGGAGATCTGACAGTAAGCATGTGTTGTCTCAATTCGTGGCACACAATCAGTCCCTCACGAGTGTTGTCGTCGGTGTCGGAAGTAGATATGACATCCTTAATGAACACCACATTCCTCCCGAACTGTGCCAACAATTGTCACGATTAACACAATTACGGCGATTGACGCTTAAATTGGAGTCAATTAATGACAATAACTCGTTGTCTGAGTTTTTGCGTACAATTGGCTTAAACTGCAAACAATTGAAGCGATTGTCACTTCTATTGGATTCACCGAAATACCGATTGACAGCAAAAACAATGAATGGTTTACAATATTATCGTCGCTTAAATCGTTTGAATTTAACACTCGTTGCGGACATCGATAATGATTTGTTGGAACCGTTGAGAGACTGCCACCGATTAACACATCTATCGTTGGATATGAAGCAAATGAGTGGTCAGTTAATGGATAATTGCGACCAACATTTACCACGACTTCAATACCTGTCCATCAAAACTAAGTCAATCAGTGGCGAGCATTTGGCACACATCTCAAAACTACCGGCGCTGCAAATGCTTGTCATTAAAGTCAAACAAAGCAAACTCTGGGAAAAGGATTTTTCAGATCTATTGTCCAAATGTCCTAAACTAAAAAATGTTGTATTCATTAAGGCTTCTAAAAAACAACAGCATTTTTGCCGCACAAATGATTTAAATAATTAAATTTTATTTTTTTGCTTTAAATATTAACTAAACCTTTATTTTGAATTTTAAATCTATATTTTGAATAAACAATTAAACGATTTGTAAATTACTAATAAAACCATTAAAATGTCTGTAAATTTTTACTATTTAATTTTGCGATAATATTTAATACAAACAGTATTTTTAAATAAAATTTTAACTATGAATGAAAATATGTTTAATTCAGTTATTTTTGAGTTGCAATGAAAATAATTTAATGAATTGTATGTTAAATGTGAGTGAAATGAATGGCAAACCGAAATCAAATGATAAATGTATGGAAAGTATTAAAACAATTGATATTTCAAACGATGATTATAATAATCTAGTTAATAATAGTTATATGAAAATTAATAAGAAATGGATTATGAAATACACGAAAACTGATAGAAAAAGTTTAGGAATTTCTTAAGAAATGAAAAGTTTTACCTGAGATTAGGCTATGGTTTGGCTAACCGTACGATCAAACAGATCTGGTATAAGGCGAGGGTTGAGTTCAATACATTGAAATTGGTTTTATTTTTGACAATTTTTTGCCAAAATTCTTGAAATCTGATGAAGACTTACGAGAATTGGAGGCATTTTTTCAAAATTAAAACTAAACTATCATTTGTTGTAATTATTATTTTTTTTATCACATTTAATAAACTAATTGCCAAAACATAATTAAGCTGTAATTATTAATGCATAATTAAAACTTTATTTCAAAGTAAATGAACAAAAAATGTATTAAATAGATTTTGTACTCAATGTTGATATTAAAATAAAATGCTTTTAATTTAAATTCACAGACAATTTATTTATTTTAGAGATCAGTTTTGTATATAAATCGGCGTTTTTCAAGTTGTTTCCAACCAGTGATCAAATCCCGTACCGCTCTGTCAGTCCATTAATAAACCATCACTTTCTATGTTAATCGCTGACCAATTCTGATTAGGTTTGAATCTCGGGTCCAATCTTTGAGTCCTTAAAAGTTTGAAATTTAATGATTAAAATAAAAAGAAATAATAATAAAAACATTTATACCTCAAGTAATGCCAGATATTTGTCCGCTTTTTGAATCACCATTTAATCCGTTGATGTAATCGACAAAAGAGATTGCATTTCATATAAAAATAAATAAATTTGATAAAGACTTACATTTTCCCAATTGTCTTAACATTACTTTCGATGCAAACCATGGAATCGATTCCAATCTGTAATAAAACCCAACACTTGAAGCTATGGTCCCGAGTATTACAGACATCGAGTGCTATGTAATGGTCTGAAAGGAGATATCAAGTGCTGGCGTTTCTTACAGATAGACATCAATTGTATGATTTGGACACAAGAATCAGACGAAAGACTGGACATTGAATCCATCTGTTGTACAGCACTCGAGATTCTGGTCCCGAATACTACAGACACTGAGCGCTATATAATGGTAGGGAAAGGGATATCAAGTGTTGAGGTTTTATTAGAGATTGTCATCGATTGCATGGTTTGGAAACACGAAGAAAGCAGTGAACGGATCGACCATTAGATCCAACAGTTGTAAAGCACTTGAAGCTATGGACCCGAGTATTACAGACACCGAACGCTATGTAATGGTCAGGAAAGGGGTATTAAGTGTTGAGGTTTTACTACAGATTGTCATCGATTGCATGATTTGGACACTAGAAGATCGCCCAACCCTTCCTCTACTTCTAGTGTTCAAACCATGGAATCGATTCCAATCCATAGTAAAACCCCAACACTTGATACCTCTTCCCAACGATTACAGAGCACTCGATGTTTGTAATTCTCGGACCATAACATCAAATGCTAAACAGCTGTTGGATCTAATGGCCAATTCCTCCACTAATGTCTTCGTGTTCTCAAACCCTGCAATCTATGACAATCTCTAACAAAACGCCAGCACTTGATATCCCATTCCCGACCCTTACATAACACTCGGTGTCTGTAATACTGGTGACCAAAACCACAAGTGCTGTAAAACCGATGGATTCAATGCCCACTCTTTCCTCTGCTTCTTGTGTCCAAACCATGCAATCGTTATCTTTCCGTAAGAAACGCCAGCACTTGGTATCCCTTTCCCGACCATTGCGTAGCACTCGATGTCTGTAATACTCGGGACCATAACCTCGAGTGCTGTACACCCGATGAAAGCGATGGCAAACCCTTCGAGTGATGTCTAACCGATCCTTCTTTGCTCTTCTCTGAGATCTAACCCAACCTTTGATTCCTTTTTCTTGTCTTTGAATTCCTTCTAAACATAAAAACAACAAAAAATGTTAATATTTTAGCCGAAGAAAAGTTGTGTTGAAATGCAATCTCTTTTGTCGATCACATCAACGGATCAAATGCTGATTCAAATGCTAACTATTTTTGAGACGAATCGCGAATAGAATTCATTTAAAAATTAATTATAAAATCAATTGTTATTTTTTAAAAATAAATTTTATTTTCAAAACATTTTACATCAATATTAGAATAAAAACTTTTAACAATTAAATAAAGAGTTGAAAAACTTTAGTCAAAACATTATTAAAATTTTTGGATTTAAAATTGTTTTTCTTATAATTTTTTAATTAATTAAATATTAATAGCAAAGTGTTTTAAATTATTAGCATATTAATTAGTGCTAAATTTAACAGTGAATTTAAATTTTGATTTTATTTATATCTAATTTAATTATATTTAAAATTAGATTTTACAAAATATAAACAATTAAATGCAAATTCTGTAAGAATATAATTTTATATTATAATTTGCAAAAATCATTTAAATGCATTATGATTAATTTTAAGTTAACCATTATCTATTGTCCATTTGGTTAACCAAATTAAATCCATAATTAATTATCATTGATTAAAATGAGATTAATATTTAGGATTATTGATTATTTTTATTTTATAAGTCCGTAAGAGGGCTGATCCCGGATATCAAAGATTGTTATCCCAATTAAAGATTATTAATACAGATATTCTTGTAATGCATTGAATAATGCATTTAAATTCAATGTCAGCATTAAAATGTATCATAAATGTAACATTTGTTAATCGCTAGTAATATTAGTATCTAAAGTAGACTATAGACTCAAAAAGCAAATGAAAACTAATTGTAAATTGAAAAACAAAATGTGAATTTTACTAAAAAAAAGTTTTACTGAATCTTTAAATAACTTACTTAACGGTCAATGCCTTAAATGTATATCGCGTTTGGTTTCTCTTCCCTGGAAAATGAATATCACTTTTTGGGTCATTTGAATGTTTCACTGAATTTTTGTGATCCATATTTCCAGTGGAAGAGAGAGAGAGGCGAGTAACTCGTTATTCAATATATTAGTTTGTATGCGAGAGAGAGAGAGAGAGAGAGAGAGAGAGAGAGATTAGTCTAGTTTATTGAAGCTTTTGCTAACTTTATAAATGAGTTATTCAAACATTTATTCACAAATTTATCGCAAACTTTTACTCAGTTTCTATCGTTTCATTAAAAACAAGTGTTAAATAATAATTGATAACCAAATTACTCAAAACATGTTCAAATATCAACACTTATTATCATTACTAATATTTATTTCATATTCAGTCGTCAATTGTAAGTATTTTTAAAATTTATCCAAAATTTATATTTGTTTAATTTTTTACTGTTTTGAAACTCATAAAAATAACTTTTTCTTCCTTGTAATCAATGTTTAGGCCAAACAACAACTAACACATCGACGCCGACACCGAGCGGTCCCATCATAAAAGTGGTCAACAATGAAAACACATCAAACGTGACCAAAATGATTGTCATGGAGTTTGTCAGCGGTATGGGAAAGGCTCTCCAACAGCTCCTCACCTCCAACTCAAACATCAATAGACAGGTCTTACCGATTGTCCGATTAATTGTTTTAAATGTTTAACAAAAAAAATTTTCCTGAAAACAGTCGGTGGACTTCAATTCAACGGCCAGACAGGGGAACAGTAGTCGCGTTGAGGGCGAAAAGTTGCGCGAAGAGATCAACAAACGCGTGAACCAATTGCAGACATTGATTTCGACGGCCATAACGGTGTCCAAAGACCGCCGGGATTTGGTCACCAAACGAGTTCTCGAGCAAATCAATCAGCGATTGGAGGGCGCGAAGGACAGGGCGGACAAGATATTGAGAGAAGTGAGTGACAAACTTATTTTCCACTCGTTATCAGTTTTGCCCACTATTTCAACAATTATTTTTAAAAAACATTGTTTTCAGCCAAATAACAGTGAATTAGCGGTGCGGA